GAGAGAGAGAGAGAGAGAGAGAGAGAGAGAGAGAGAGAGAGAGAGAGAGAGAGAGAGAGAGAGAGAGAGAATGAGTAAGAGAAAAGCCACATAGTGTGCGTGAAATTGAGAAGAGGTGGAGAATTTCACACATGCATGCGTGCTTGCACGCACGCACGCACACACGCACGCACGCACGCACGCACACACGCACGCACGCACGCACGCACGCACACAGACATCTATATACATACATAGGGACTGTAGCTAACCTTCTTTGGTGTCAGTCTGGCCAAGCTGCATTACGATTTCCATCGCCTTTGGCGGTATTTCGACATTGTACGTCAACATCATCTGCTTCTTCAACGTCTGCGTCCATTCTCGCTTCTGCTCCACGTTCTTTGCCTGCAATCAACATGAATACTCGCTCAGACGATTGTAACGTGGGACTCGCTGTAAAACCTCGACTAAAATAGCCATCTCTTTATTCTAGTGGCATCAAGATATGGTGAGTACATCCTGTGTCATCACTCAGTCAACCCAAAAAGAACAAAAATTCTGGCAATTTATACCTTACATAATTAATACCACTGTTGAAGCCCCATATATACCACTGATATAACATATATATTTGCATATACTTTATATTAGCACTAGTATCAACATACAATTGGTATTATAGGTATCTGATATGTTAGGTTCATGGATATATATAGGATATATGGTAATATGGTATCAGGAGTAAATAATAATAGATCTAGGATATAGAGATATATTATTATTGATTATTCATTATTAATTACCTATTATTATTCACTCCTGATAGTATTTGTATATCAATCCAATACACCCCTGCTACGCCCAGCCCTGCCCTATGCCCGGCAGTACGCCCCGCTAGCTGTTACAACACAAGATGAATGGCGTGTGTATGTGTAGGCTATCACAATAACCTGCTCATATGTGCATTTGATAAGGCCATGCATACTCGGTACTGTCCGTCGTGGTGCTGTCGCTAGTTAGCCCAATATACATTTACACGAGTACTGGTTTTATAACAGCCACATAGAAAAGAAAAATAAGCACCATGCACGTACGTGTCTGCCATTCGTTGGTCACCGGGAAATGCTAAATATTGCTTTTACCTTGAGTTATCCTTGAGAAATCGTACGATACAAAAATTGCATTATGTATGTATGTATATATTACACATGCACACATACATACATTGAATACAATGCATTTTGGCATTCGTCATTATTTTATGTAAACAATGAATTATATGTACATAATTACACTATCGAGATAAATTTTACAAAGGGATCGAGCACCAGACACTGTATTAGCGCCCTTGTTTACATACGACAACACCTATCACAATATCATATAGTATATGTTAGCAGGCCCTCAAGTCGTGACGGTCTAACGTGATTTAATCCTGATAAGCCCTCGATCTAATGACCAAATAATACCATATTTACACAAACACAATCGGGAGATTATATATACAAGTTCAGACCTTGTCAATGACGAAAAGTACGTTCATTATCATTATGTCATAATTATCACTGCAGCTATAGCATAACTAGAGCTGCTAGTGCGCACATATGCTCATGTGAGATCTACGCGTAACGTCATTCAGGACTTAAAATCGATCGTATTTTTAGCCATTTTTTTAGGACCTTTATGTTTATGCACTAGTTTACGATTTAAGTACGATGAATTAATCCGGGATAAGGATATCCCAGCGTAAAAAGATATGCGCGGCACAACTCGGCAGAATTTAAATTCACAAGCATACGAACTTTCACGTCAAATCCTGATCAGTAAACACGAAAAAATTAACGTTTTAGAGCGAGCCTTTGCTTTTAGCGTACAAATTTGTTAACAATGTCATAAACTCGAGATCACTTTACTAATCATACATTTAGATCAACCCACGTTATGAGGTTTCGTGTATATAGGTAGATGATCACTATTGATTTACTTGCTCAATACTCTCACGGGTTCGTCTGCAGCTGTGAAACGACCTGTCTAACCCAACCTTGCGACGTCGCAGTGGCACCACTTGGCTCTGAACCGAACAATCCATTAAGGCAGTTCTGCTCTAGGTCCAAACTGTTCCTCTTCCTAGTAACAGCCGTCTGCTGCTGCTGCTGAAGCATGTTCAGTCTGCTTTGCACGGCGACACCGGCCGTAGGACTCTTCAGAAACGCTCGCGAAAGACTGGATGGCAGACTGTCAGTAGAACCCGGTATGTAGCCGTCCGCGGGCCTCACGACGCACGCAGATTTCTTCGGAACGTTGAACGACGATGAACCCTTCAACGACTGCGGCAAGGAAAAGTTTTCCGCCTCCCCGCCATCCTGAGAGAACTCCGTCGCCGACCAACCGGAAGTGTGACGTAGGAGATCCGGGGGAAGACTCCTGTGGCGTGCCGGGAGCGACGCCGATTTCATCCTCGCGTTCGTGGCGTCGGCGGACCGTTGCCGGTCGTAGGTGGCGCCGTCCTGGAGCATGGCTGCGCGCGTCTGGATGATAGACGACGGAAGCGCGAGTTCCTTCACGTGTCGCTGGGAATGATGTGGGGAGGAGGAGGAGGAGGATGTGTACTCCTGAAGCATCGCAACGCGCTCCTGTATTGTCGGTGACTGCTCGCGTACCTGCCTCGAACAGAGCGCGGTAGAGTCGACCGTCGGCCGATAGATCCCCTTAGAATCGAGATCCTCGGGGGCGCCACTGTCACCGACACCGTCCGTCGCTGGCTGCGTCGTGAGACGACCGCGTCGGCCTCCGTTGATGCTTTTCTCGAGCCGGTCGAGTTTGTTCTGTAGCAACGGCGACTTCTCCATTCGGAACAAGTTCGATTTCTCTGTCACGCGCACGGTAGGTTTCTCGGAGGCTTGATGCAGGGATGCGACCGCAGGGGAGCGTGCCTCAATGAACTCACTCCTGTTCGCGGTAACGGGCACCCGAATCAGATCGGGAGTACCCTGAAGCGATGATGGCTTCTCTCGCAGAAAGGCACCGGAAGTTTGCGTCACAGGTTTCTCCGAGGTTTCGAGAGTTCCGGACGGCCCGACAGACTTGCCTCTCTGCGCGCCGATGCTCTCGGATAACCGATCGAGCCTGTCCTGCAGCGACGGCGACTTCTCTCTGGACATCGGCGGCGCGCTCGATTGCTGATTCACGCACGCGTTCAAGCGATCGAGCTTCTCGGCGAGCGACGGCGACATTTCCCTCGCCGACCTCTCCGCGGGAATGAGGGGAGCGATCGCGGCACTCTCCCGCTCCAGCTTGTACAGCTCCTTCACTCGCGCCGCTACGAGAGGGCCCCTGGGGGTCGGGTCGGTGGGTAGCTGCCCGCTCGTCGGGCCGGCGTTGGTCCGGTGCAGCCTGGCCTGTTCCTGCATCATCCTCAGCATACTATTCACCTCGTACTCGTTCTCCGACTTGTTCATACCCCGCGGCGTCACCACCCGCGATCCCTGCGACGAGGTCGCGCCGGCCTCTCTGTAGGAGGTCACGCCGGCCTCTCTGTAGGGGGTCGCCGCGTCGGCGGGAAACGCAAACTCGCCGTCCTCCTGGTCGCTGTAGATCGCCGAGTCTCTCACGTCCTCCTCCTCCTCCATGTCTCGCAGGTCTTCCTCGAACCGCTGCTCCAGCGTTGCCGCGCCCCCGCAGCCTCCGTCGCCGTCTCCAACATCACCGCCGTCGTCGTCGTCGTCGTCGTCGTCGTCGGTGTCCGACAACGCGTAGTAGCGCCCTCTGGTGCCGTCGCCGGGCCGCACCTCCACCATGCTGCCGTAGTTCTCGTCCTCGAGTATGCCGGCGCTCGAACACGGCGACACGGCGCCGCCATCCCCCGCCGCCGGGTGAAGCCTCGGTATCGCCGCGGCGACGGTCGTCGTGCCGACGCGCGTCGGTCGCGGAGACGGACGCGATGCTGCCGACGGGCCGCGGAGGACGCTGCGGCGGATCGCGACTGTGAGTTCCGTCCGGCTTCGACGCCCGACGGTGACGGTGGCGCGCTCTGGTAGCGGTCGGGCGGGGCCACTCGGCGGCGGCGGCGCTGACGCTTTCGCGAGTCCGAACACAGTACGCGCGCACGTCCGCGGCGCCGCCTCCTCCGCGCGCCCTCGCTCAGCCCGCTCCCTCCGCCCGCGCGCCGCCGCGCCTGATGTACGGTCCGGGTTCCGGATGTTACGAGGAACGTGCTGATGGAGGCGATCATCCGCGGGAGCGGGGCGACCGGCGGTCGCTCGACCGTCGACGGGTCTCGTAGAGATGCTCGCGCGCGTTGTCGCGCCGGGCGGCGCGGCGGGGGGACGGCGCTCGAGCGATGCATGCCGGGTCCCACCTCCTCCTCCTTCCTTCCTCTCCGGGGCAGGAGCGTTCCTCGCCCGCGACGGGGAAGCGGAGGGCGGAGCGGGAGCGCGCCGGACCGGCGACGTCGCGCGCGCGCCGCCGCGGCGTTCAACACCGGATCATCGTCGCGTAGATGAACTGCTGTCCGTGATCTCGGCGCTGGTGCGTCGCGCCCCGCCCGCGCGCTTCGAAGTGGCTGGCGCGGAGCGTGACTCCGCCGTTGACCGAGCGAGCCCGCCAAGGTTGTTCGCAGCGAGCCGCGACCTGGCTTCCACCTACATGCGGCAGCCGGCGGCGGAGGCGGACGGGCGCCGACGGACGGAGGGTCTCGCGTGCGCCGAGTCGGGCAGTCGCACGAACGATCGGCGCCCCCCCCGCGTCGTCCGCGGTTCGCGTCGACTCCCGCGGCGGGCGCCTCCTCGTACACCTCTGTCGTATATGGGCCGTCGTCGCGGCGGACGTCGTCTCGGTGTCGCCGACGTAACCTGCGCGGAGCGTCGGCGGGGGAGCGGGCAGCGAAACGCTTCTCGCCGGGATGTTGTCCGTAGAGCTTCGCGTCGGCCGCGGCGACACACAGGCGCGGCGGGCGGCAGGACCGAAACATGGAGGGCGGAGAAAGTGCGGCCGCTGTGGACTGTGTTGTTGTTGTCGCAGTT